CTCCGCCCCCCCCCCGCCCGCGCCGCCCTGGGCCCCCCCCCCCCCCCCCCACGGGGCGGGGCCTGGCCACTGCAGCCCCCGCTCTGCCCACCCCCTGGATATTTACAGAGCCCGAGATCGCAGCCCATTTGGCGGGTCATGCAGAGGAAAAATAGCTTGGGGAAGGGGAGTTACTGCTGTCAGACTCAGAACTGTCCTTCTATTTCCCTGCTGTCAGCCGAGCGGGGATGCTGTGGGTTTAAGCCAGTTTAGCGGGTCTTGAGCCTCACTTTGCCCAGGCTTAAGGGAAAATTCCTCAGGAAATCATACCTTCTGTTTAATCTACCCTTCCCTTATTCTTAATGATTTCTGTTGAGAGAAAGAGCAATGTCTCCCTGTTCCCTCGATCTCCTGGTTGCCTTTGCTGGGACCGCAAGGCTATCAGTGAGATGCAGCAGGTGTGTATTTGAAGCACCGCCCACCAGGAGTGTGGACAGTCTGAGGTTGGGGCTGTTGCTTTCTTTGCCCAAGAACTTAGATGACATGGTGGGAGCCAGGTGGTACTCCACCCACATCGTTTAGTGCCATGGGGTGGTCTCATCATTCTTGTGTTAGCCATTGGTTGTCAATACAAGTCTGGTGGTGGGAGCATCTCTGTCCTCATCTGAAGTATGTATGTCTGTGTCACTTTGGTTGGTTCCATGTCCCAGTTCTTTCCCCCTCTTCCCTCCAGGGGTGCCTTCTCAGTGGTCCGAAGGTGTGTGAAGAAAACATCTACGCAGGAATATGCAGCAAAAATCATCAATACCAAGAAGTTGTCAGCCCGAGGTGAGTGTTCCCTATCTGGTCCTCACCTTGAGGATCCTTCCAAAGATAGGTCTTCTGCAGATGCCCTAGGAGTTGGGGGAGTATGTGTTTTAGCACTTGGAGATTAGTTGGAATTTCAAGGTGGGTGGATTTTTGAAGCCAGACAAGGAGGTGTGAGGGAATTGGAAGTGCTCAGGAGAAGAAGGAAAAAAGTGATGCGGATGGCTGGAATGGCCGCCAAAGGATTGAGGAGGTTCAAGTTCTTAGTGGAAAATTGGTGGTAGGTGGTATGGAATGAAAAGCTCTTAATTTAGGGTATGTAGAGCCCCCCCTCTTTAGGGCAGTGATGGCCACGACATGCTTGTCCTAGCCTTGTGCCCTGGTGGTAACTTGGTATGGGAATGCAGTAAATGAGCAGTTCTGATGAATCTAGCCTCCCCTGCCCACCAGGAGGCAGAACAGACTCCCAAGGGAAGGGAATCTGTAAACATCAGGGGAGGCTGCTACTGGCGAGGGCTTCTGGGGAACAAATCCTACCAGATGAACTTGATTGCTTTTTTTGATCAAATTACAAAGTTGGTGATGAAGCAGCAGATGTAGTCTGCCCTGAGCAGAGGGTGATGATGCCTCATGGTCTAGAAACCCCAGTGGTGTGGTCTGTCTGTCTGGTCTGAGAGAGCCGCAGTGCCTCAGTGTGTGAGGAGCCTACCGCCCAAGGCCCTGGAGCCTCACTTGGGAGATTCTACTGAGTACCTAGGACTGGGAAGCCAGGGCCTGTCTTTAACACTTCGAATGTACAGTTTTGAAGCTGGTATTGGGTGCTTGCCAAGCTTACCTCATCTGATAGGTGTAGACCCAGCAGTGTGTGAAGTGAGAGGTGACTGGTTAATACAGGGGCCAGGTCCTGGAGAGCTTCAGGGAGTACCACAGGGACAAAGGTTATGCGACTCAGAGAAAGGAATTAGGGCTGGGCAATAGGATGCTCATAAATATATTAGGAGCCAGGACAGATGCCCTGGGGAAGATGTGGTCTTTGGCCAATAATGACTTGGGTATCACTAGGGCAAGATAATAGATGTCCCAAGCACCCAGAAGCTCTGAAATTCCACAGAGATGACAGTGGACTTCTGTTGTGTTGGCAGTTGTTCTGGGACCTGTTCCATGGGGCTGTGTCTGCCTCCTGGCCTGGGTGTCTTTCCCTATTCCTATTACCAAGGCTTGTTTTGTTGTGTCCCACCCGGCTCCATTTCCTGTCTCGTACTGTTCATGTACATTGGCTGTAAAGTTGATGTGTTTATTTTCTTTCTGTCGGGTACCTTGAGTCCAAGGCAATGGTTGTCATAGAGATATGTGGGTGGTCAGATGCCCTCCTCCTGTGGGATAGGGGGGGACAACAGTAGTTGGATTCTCTGGCAGACGTGCTCTGACTAAGAATGGAAGGTGCAGACAGGAATGGGTTGAAGAAGATGGGTATCTCCCTGTGCCCACACAGCCTAGCTCTGCCATATCAGAAATGGGCTGATACGTGGTATTTCCAGTGGATGGTGCAATGCTTTGCTTTGCTCATCCCCAGTGTCCTCTGGTCCAGGAGTGAGAGAGAGATAGGAAGTTGAGAGCTAAAACTTAGGTATCTGAAGCTACCTGGTTATGGTGACGGTGGAGCTACCAACCTTAGGCTTTTGTTTCCTGTTGCTTCCATTCCCACCCAAACTTCCTAAGCTATGGGATAGCTCCCTTTTCCTTTCCTTGTATCCTTTCTACCTTATCCCATCTTCCTAAACTGGTATCTTGGTGTTCTTCTTTCCCTGCCTGAACTGGATGAGATTTAATTTCTTTGCCTTTCTTTTCAACTTGAGATTTCTTGAATAAGATCATGTGTATCAGGCAACAACTCCCCCACTCGAGAGATGGTTATGCCAAGACTAAGGCTTTGGCTTACGTACCAGGTTAACTTTGGGACAGAGGCTGTGGCGGCTGGTGGATGTGCTCAGATGCCAAAAAGAGGGGTCAGGAATGTAGAGGTGCCATTGCTATTTGGAGGTGGGAGAGTGGGAGGGTGTGCTCTTAGAGATGGTATGCTGGTCTGTGGGTGTTGCCTAAGGTTGGGTCAAGGTCCACACTGGGCTGGTACCCATGGGGTTCAGGAGTGAAAACCATGGCTTCCTTGCAGCCTCTCAGTTTACGCTGTATATTTTATAAAGGTGCTGTAGATGGGGCTGGGTTTCACTTGCTGCTGTCTGTCTGTCTAGGGCTTCACAGGTGTTGGATTTCTGTGTTTGGGAATGTCATTGCCCCACTAGGGTCACCTATGTGAAGGTCTGAAGAGGCTCGCTGTGTTAGCTGGGATTCCTTGGTGATTTGCTTCCTTTGTGATTTTCTTTGCCTCAAACAGAAAGGGTGAAGGGCTGCTTATCCTCGTCCATATGAGGTGGCCCAAGAGGCCCTAGAGAGAGACAGACAGCGTAGTCCTCTGGGGTGTCAGATCTGGACAGGAAGCTTTCTTGTAGGCTGTCCTTTCTTGTCTTTGTGGCCTCTGAAGCCAGCCTTGATGGCTGAGTTACCTGTAGGACGCTCATACAGGTGTGTGTTGAGCATTTTTTTTTTTTTTTAAATCTGCAGGCCTGTTTACGTAGGGCACCAGAAGTCATGTAACACCATACTTTTGCTTCAGTGCAGTGATAGGTAGGGAGTTGGGACTCTTACAGGAGCCCATGGTTCTAAGCTTAGCTCTACGAGGCTGAAGGAGGCATTTAAAATAGCCTTGGATTCAGGATCTAGTGGGCCAGGTGATGGCAATGATAAATCGTTATTTTAAGATTTAAGAGCACCCCCCAAAAGAGCCTGAGCCCTTATGTCTTTTTTTTATTTTTAAATCTTCATATTCCCTTATCTTTATTCATATGCATACAGATTTTCACCTCGTGGAGCATAACATTTTATATCCTGCTCTCTTTGCTTATATCTAAGGCAATTTCCCCATATTGCTACAGTTGAAGGGCAAATGGTCCTTTCTGACTTCTATGTAGCTTAGGCTTTATCCTTGGAGCATCACAAGAAACCTCTGTATTTGGGTTATTTATCTGGATTCCAGATCCTTTGACTGAAATTGATACTGGAGTAATGCCCTTGGCCTTATGGGGATGTTACACAGAGGCAGAGTTATGAAATCAGTTACAGCATTTGCTGTATTTGTTTATTATTTATTCTGTGTGTATGCTCCAGGTGAAGAAATTTTCTGTTGAAACTATGTATAGGTAAAGCCTTCCTCTTCATGAGGACCTGGAAGGTGAAGGAAAATACCATTTCTTTTTCTTTTCTTTTATGTAGGCAGACCCTAGCAGAGCCCCTGATACACACTGAGCATATACATATAAAATGTATAGAATGAATTAAGAGGGCTAGATAACCAATCGAGGTTGCTTTTTAGTTTTGGCTCCCAGGAGAGTCAGGTTGCTGGAACCCTTGAACCCTGGTGCTGGCTCCCCCCCCTTTTTTTTTTTTACTCAGGGAGCCAGGCTGCTCTGGAGAGAACAGGTGAGGACAAAGACTTTTGCTTGGGGCATAAAGCATTGCAGCTTATGATTCCTCCTTTCTTGTCATTTGCGGCCTCAGAGGACCACTTCTGGGACTTCCTAAGTAGTGATTTTAAGCCTCAGTGCCAGTGAAGCTCACCTTGAGTCCTGGTTCAAACACAGCTTCCTGGCTTCTGTCCACAGAAATGTCACTCTGGGGTGTGTGTCCCCCGTCCCCCCCCCCCAGAATCTGCATTTTTAACACAAATCAGGTAATACATGAGCCACTTTCTTTTGTTTGTTTGTTTTGTTTTGTTTTGTTTTTCGAGACAGGGTTTCTCTTGGCTTTGGAGGCTGTCCTGGAACTAGCTCTTGTAGACCAGGCTGGTCTCGAACTCACAGAGATCCGCCTGCCTCTGCCTCCCGAGTGCTGGAATTAAAGGCGTGCGCCAATAACGCCCGGCCCATGAGCCACTTTTTAAGACGTGGTTAGGAGCACTGCCTGCTCTTCCAGAGGACCTGGGTTCAGTTCCTAGCACCCACATGGCAGCTCACAACTGTAACTCCAGTTCCAGGGGATTCTTTTTTGGTTTTTTGAGACAGGGTTTCTCTGTGGCTTTGGAAGCTGTCCTGGAACTAGCTCTTGTAGACCAGGCTGGTCTTGAACTCACCGAGATCCACCTGCCTCTGCCTCCCGAGTGCTGTGATTAAAGGCGTGCGCCACCAACGCCCAGCCTGGGATCCAGCATCCTTACATACATGCAAGCAAAACACCAAAGCACATTAAAAAACAAAAACAGTAAATGCTGGTCGTGGTGGCACACACCATTATTCCCAGTACTCTAGAGACTGAGACAGGATGATTGCCACAAGTAAGACCCTGTCTCAAAACAAGCAAAAAAGACAAAACCACAAAACAGCAGCAACAGTTGTTCTTGCCATCTCCTGGGAGTCACCAGGCGTACTTCAGCCCAGCCAGGTGGTATCTCAGGGGCACTCTGCTGTCATATGGCTGTCTGTGTGCATGAGCTGGTCTGTGATTAGGGGCCTTATTCTGTATCCCCAGTTTGGGGTGTCACTTTGTGTCTGAGGCTATGGCAGGCTGAGTGGCTGATGTTGTGGTATGTTGGCCACCAGAAGGGTAAAGGCTGTCCCTTTCTGGGTCCAGCTGGCCCTGAGGACTGAAATGGGATCCCCTTGAATGGTGCCAGCTGAAAGTCCCCACCCCCTTGGTGTTGGCCTGAGTAGCCCCCATGACATTTGTGTCCCCTGTGTTGTCTCCAAGTACGACTTTCCTGTTAAGGACCTGGTGAAGTGAGGGGAAGAGAAGACAGGGCAACGGAGAAGATAGAGCAACGGAGAGGGTGGCAGGGAAAGAGACTCTGCTCAGGGCAACTCCGGGACTCGAGGGTCTGTGTGATAGCAAACTTTTCACCTGAGTGTAAAATAGGCTGATTTCTAGAAACCAAAGAAATGGTATCCTGCATCTATGTGAATGATCTCCTCTGA